GCAAGAGGTGGTCACCATCTGGCGGGCTTATAAGAAGAGGAAGCCCCTTAGCAATGCCCTCCCCGAGTCTTGTAGCAGCAGGAAGGGAAAGGAGAAAGTAGATTATGATAATGATATGCCGACAGCACCGCAGCAAGATATGCAGGATATTGACTGATTCTGTGCATGTAGTGAATTGTAGTGCATTCTCTAATGAAGAACCATTTAAAAAAGGCTCATACAAAAGTTTGGCTATGACTCTGATTGGTCAGACAAAAAATTGAAGGCTACTCTGATTTTTCAGACTTTTTCAAGGAGGCAATTCTGACACCCATATCAGACAGTGAAATTGATGAATAGAGAGACCCAAAACCAATTTGGGGGCCTGGCCCCGTCGCACTGAAACTCGGGTATTAGTGTTATTTAACAAAAAATGTCAGTAGTGTAACTTCGAAATTCGAGTGTGTAATGTGCAATGCAGCCAGTGGCGAGCTAGGGGGTTTTGCCTCTTATTGGAAAAAAAAAAAAAAAAAAAAAAAAAAAAAAAAACAACAACAACAACAGCATTCTGTGGCGAGTGTTGCTAGGCTGGTGTCATTGCCACATCAGATTTTATTTCCGTCTGGCAGTTAGTTGTGACGAGCACTGGGAAAAAAAAAAAACATCCCTAGGTGGCACATGTCAACGGTGGCCGCAATCTGAAGAAGTGAACCATGTGTTTAGGGTGGCCAGGATCTAGAGTCGGTGTAACCACAAGCATAAGTCAGCGGACGACTTTACACCTTGTATTGGAAATGTCTGAAATGACAAGGATTGATAATAATGAGTAATACAGACATCATAGAGGGGGGACAGCAGAGAGTGGGGGGAACAGCATAGAGCAGGGGAGACAGCAGAGAGCAGGGGGGACAGCAGAGAGGGGGGGTCAGCATAGAGCAGGGGGACAGCAGAGACTGGGGGGAACAGCATAGCGGAGGGGGATAGCATAGAGCAGGGGGACAGCAGAGACTGGGGGAACAGCATAGCGGAGGGGGGATAGCATAGAGCAGGGGGACAGCAGAGAGTGGGGGGTCAGCATATTGCAGGGGGGACAGCAGAGAGCAGGGGAACAGCAGAGAGCAGGGGGAACAGCAGAGAGTGGGGAGGTCAGCATAGAGCAGGGGGGACAGCATAGAGCAGGGGGACAGCAGAGAGCAGGGGGACAGCACAGAGTGGGGGACAGAATAGAGCAGGGGGACAGCATAGAGTGGGGGGGACAGCATAGAGCAGGGGGGACAACAGAGAACAGGGGGGAGAGCAATAGAGCAAGGGGAGAAAGCACCTCCCCTCTCCCTGCCCCTTTGTTTCCCCTCCATGAGGGATAGGAGAGAGGTGCGGCCCGGGGGGAGGCTGAGGGGAAGGGTATTCTGTGGGGGGGAATGGAGGGTGTGTGAGGATGGGTGGGTTAGGAAATGCAGGATTAGGAAAGGAGAGGGATGACGGGGCAAACCTCCCAACCTCGCTTCGCCCAACCTCCCGATCCCCCAGTCCCCTTCTTTCCTTCATTCAACCCCCCCAATTTCCCTCCTCCCTCTAAAGTCTTCCCCTTCATTCCGCCTTACCTATTACCCCTTTTTCCGTCCCAATCATCCCCCATTCCGCCCCTAATCTGCCAACCTCTTTACCCCATTTCCCCATTCCGCGATGGGAGGTGATAGGCGGTGGGAAGTGATAACCGATGGGAGGTAGTGGGCTTTGGAGATGTGATATGCGACGAGTGGTAAAAGGCGACGGGAGGTGATAGGCGACGGGAGTAAAAGGCGACGGGATGTGTGATAGGCGACGGGAGGTGATAGGCGACGGGATGTTTGATAGGCGACGGGGAGGTGATAGGCGACGGGAGGTGATAGGCGATGGGAGGTGATAGGCGACGGGAGGTGATAGGCGACGGGAGATGATAGGCGACGGAACGGACCACGAGAGGCTGAGACAGATGAGCAACGAGAGGGCTGGGAGGAAATGGGATGACGCGGCGACCGTGCCCTACCTAGAGACGATTGGCAGATATGCGGCTGGCGGAACGTGCCAAGCGTGGTCATGAGAGGCTTTGACGGGCCAGGGTGCACTCCCGTCGCCCAGCAACGAGAGAAGTCACTCTCGTAGTGGAACCTAACACGTTTCCGCCCACTTTTGACACGACTTCTGCACCGTCGTTCTCTTTAACTTTGGGGAAAAAAAACTACGATCGTAAAGGGGGGGGAGGGGGTAATACAATGCGTCAGCGGCGCTATTTTTTACTCTCCCAGTGGTTACTTTTATGGCGCCCTAAGCTAGTTTAGGTACTATTTAAAGCCAGGGACCCAAGTTTACCAAATGTAAAACAGTTGGTTGGGACGAAAACTACTGATTGGCCGACGAACGGTAGGCACCAGCGAAATCGGCTGCGAGTGTTGCGATTTCGTCTGCTTTCGATTTTTTCGTCACTGGCCCTCGCGACCCCTGTGTTCCGGGTTGTTTTGGGAGGAACCTCGAAGACCCAAGTTTTGGGACCTTGTTTTACAGCTGGTTTGCGCGCTCAGATTGGCTAGCGAAAGCCAACCGCAACCTGCTCATTCACGCGCCCTCACGACACAAAACCTGGTTTTTTCCAATCAACTGTAAAACACTTGCCCCAGGTTCGAGAAACTTGGGTCCCTGGCTTTAAGCTTCGATGGACAACCGATTGTGCACCTGGGGGGAAAATTTCTGCCGCGGACTGTCCACGAAACTTTTCATACTTTCGTGGACAAGCCCTACTTTCATGGACACCACATCGAAGTTTTGCTTCTCCTGTGGACTCCGTCAATACTTTCGTGGACTCCCGGCTTACTTCCATGGACACACCCATATTCGCAGTTAAAAAGGAGTATTCAGCAATGTACAAGTGATTACGGGCACAAAATCGAGATACTCCAGAATATCTGTCCGTCGCAAGTAATCGCGAGCTACAGTGTCGGAAACCAGTTCTGAAACAGAATCTCGGAGCTTTCTGGGAAGAGTTTGCAGCCGCACTCAAATATGCAGTGAATTTTCAAAAACAGGGTGTATTAGGGTCCGCGTGGTAAAAACACTTATTATTCAACTCAGAGCTACCCAGCAAAACATAATATGCACGTGCTTGACGAGCCAGCATCAACCAGCAGTTGTTTTCTCCTTCATAATACATTATTTCATTATTAGTAATTCTGTGAAAAAAAACACCTAAGAAATGTAATTTTTAGAATCACTTGTTTTTATTTGCATTAGTATGTTTCTCGTTCAAACATAAAAAACATATTCCCAAAAACGTGAATCTAAAATACTTGTGTCATTTTCTCATCTATTATTATTTTACTATGTACAGAAATTTTAATAATAATACAATCAAGACGTGAAACCTTCCATTTATATAGTCATGTTCACCAAACGTTATTGGTATTCTGAGATTTCACATCTTAGTTGAAAATGCAAGCCAAGTACTAGTTGAAATATTTGTAAATGCCAGAATTCATGGTATTCCTGATTCTTGATGGGCAGAGATTTTTAATGAGCTTTATTAATCTTGTAAGCGTAATATCTATCTTTATTCTACAACGTGATCTTTTTATAGCAAGATTTCACCAACTCGGTCTGCTATACTTATCGTTCAACTAAAAGCGCTTCGTGACAGTCATTCAATTGATTTTTGAGGATCGCTTCAGAGTTTCTTTAAACACGCGAAACAGCTAGCGGACTTGGTGGCTTGAAAATACTGTAGCTTGCGACTATTTGCGAGGGACTTGATTACGCCATAATTTTGCTTTTTTTTCTCCTGTCAGCATCTCTACAGTTCTGTATGTTTTTTTTGTTTCAAACTCGCGTGTGTTCATGGAAGTAAGCCTGGAGTCCACGAAAGTATTGACGGAGTCCACGGGAGATGTGAAAGTTCGATGTGGTGTCCATGAAAGTAGGGCCTGTCCACGAAAGTATGAAAAGTTTCGTGGACAGTCCGCGGCAGCAATTTTCCCGCACCTGGGGCTCATTTGAACGGCTGGGCTGGTGGGTCGCACGCCTTGCCTTTTCAGTTGGGTCATGCGAACTTTGAGATCGTCGCACCGTGTCACGTCAGGTTCGTGCTGCAACATTGGAGTCGTGCACCAATCCCGCAATTTTGAAACCTCGCAGCATTGTATTTTTCATGTAGACCAGTTGGTTGGATTGCAAAACGGACCGTTTCCACTGACCCCCAAAAAAACCCAATGTTCAAGTGAGCCCAAGGCGTGCCTTTGAGCCTGTGGTTTTAAGGCCCAACCGTATATAATAAGAATATATGTACAAGGTCCATTCTATGTCCTAATTGTGTTATATGAATTAACATTGTAAATTCATGTACTTTAATTAATGCAATGATATGAAAAATGTATATTTAATACTCACATAGTATATCTATTAATAAATTAGTATGTATTAATGGATAACTATGCTTTGAAGTTTGATAATGAGCTTAATCGTGTAAATTTAAACAGAATTAATATCCAGTATCTATATCAAATAAAATCCTTTTGTTTTTCAGTATCTCCAGTCTTGTGCATATTTAGAAGGAATACGCCATTAGCTAGATGCTTGTGCCTTGAGTAAATATTGAATGAACATTGGTTTCGAATACCCTTTGGGCTTACAGTTTTCATTCAAAGTCAACAGCATGAGCGGCTCGATTTTCCGAGTCGAGCCGCAGCATTTTGAAATAGCCTGCCGCACCCAGTACAGACCTGCGAAATGCCCAGCAACCCAGCAGCACCATTATTGGAACTCGACCCAAAATTATTGGAAACTGGACTCACACGCTGCAGGCAAACCAAGCCAGCCATAACTGGGAAGCTCTACAGACACATGCGCGTTGCGCACATAATTGCACAACTGGCCCGAGCAAGACGCCACACGACGCGACGTCTCTCTCCACAGCCGCAACGTCCCCGAAACTTAGCATGCGCACATCAGCACGGGTTCTCCTCGCTAGGCATCCATTATAAGACTCGTCACTGAACCAGCATTCCCATCCCGCCCGTTTGATAGAGCCCAGTTTGGTAGTTGTAACTAGTTGGTTCTTTCGTACAACGAGAATTAGCCTTCTGCCAGACACCCGCCATGGCGAAATTCCTCTTACTCGTTCTCTCGCTGATGCTCGTCTGCATCTCGCTGCTCCCCGCTGCATCCGCCGGTCCTAAGCGCGTCGCTCGCACGCGGCAGGCGCAGGAAGAATTTCGCCGTCTGGGCGACCGCCAGCGACAGCTGAGCGACCGCAAGCGACAGCTCATCAATGTTCGCCGCGGCTCTCGCCCTCTCCGGCACACGTTCGACACAAAACCCATCTACGACCAATGGCGCGCACAAGGAAGCGGCTCGTCCACTACGATTGAATACGGCGGTGGGCCCGTGTTAGATGGCAAAACGCTCAAAATCTACTTGATCTACTACGGCTACTGGCAAGACGGCTACGGGCAGACAGAGGTTGAGAATTTTATTCGGTCTCTCAGTTCTGCGGATAGCAGCACTAAGGCGCAGGGGGAAGCCGGGGATCAGACGGTGCGGGACTGGTGGGCCATCACCTCGAGTTACTACTCCAACACCTCGACCGTTAGCCCGATTGTATGTCGAGGGCTGATTGTGGGCAGTTTGTCGGGGGCTGATTGTGGGCAGTTTGTCGAAGGCTGATTGTGGGCAGTTTGTCGGGGTTTGATTGCGGGCAGTCATGCAAGGGAACAGGGAAGTCACAACTTTTTTTTTTTTTTTTTTTTTTTTCCTGTGTACAATATCTCTTCTTACCAGCGTCGGCTCCTGCCTCCTTCAGGTGAACCTTGCAAAAGTTGTTTACGACAAAGGGTCTCGCGGGACGAAGTTTAGCGACAACACAGCTTGGGATGGTAAGAATGCTTCCCAACATAGTAGCACGCGTCTTCCTTTCACCAATGGAACATCCCGCTCGTTTGGTCTCATTGAAACTCGTAACGCCTTTCCCTTTCCGGCATCCCGGCAGTCGGTTGTCCACTTAGACTCCTACTAATATCATATTGCCCCTCGTTTCTGTCACAGTTGTGTCGAACAAGGTTGGCCCTGGAAAGGCGTTCCCCTACGACGCCAACGGCATCTACCTGATTCTCACCAGCAAGGACGTCACCATCCCTGGCTTCTGCAAAGAATGGTGTGGATGGCACACCATGGACTATCTCAAATCGAAGCGCGTCGTCTACTCCCTCGTGGGTCATCACGCGCAGTGCCCAAAAAGCTGCGACGCGCAGGTGTTTTCGCCCAACGCGAATCCTGCGATCGACGCGATGATTTCCACGATCGCTCACGAGATCGCGGAAGCTGCGACAAATCCCGACGTCAAGAGCGGCTGGTTCGACGCTGAAGACGAAGAGAACGCCGACAAGTGCAGCTACTATTACGGAGACACGACTCTAACCACCAACATCAAGGGTAACTCCGCTTACTACAATCTCGTGGGGTTCAATGGCATGAAATTCCTGGTGCAGCAGAACTGGGACTGGGCGACGGACTCGTGCGTGTCGCAGGCAGTCTCAAGCCTCTAGAGGACTCGTGTGATCCGCAGGGTTAGGTCGCTTAATGGTGGATGGGACTCCCAATCTGGGGAATGCGGTGTTCAGAACACCGCATCTTTTTAGTTTTCTCTGCTTGAAGCTAGAGGTTACCAATGCTCGACTCGAGCTGGTGCGGCTAATCCTCGACTTGGCAGTATTGGTGGTAGCGCAGAAGTAGTCGCCGTTGTCTTAGCAGTTAGACTAACAGCCCAATAAGCGCCTGCAGCCCTGTCGCTAAAGAATAAGCAGCGGACGGAGCGGGCCTGCTTGCTGCAGATTTGCTCCGGACCAGAGAAGCGTCGAATCTAGTCAAAGCCCCCATCTCATATTTCCAAACCTTATAGAGTTGAACGAGAACCCAAAGGCCTGATTGGTCGACGAGGGACGACATTTTAGGTGGATTGAGCTGAGGGGTGACGATCTTGCGAATTTCATACGAGTTTGCCGTACCAGAAATCGGTTATGGCAGAGTCACACTAACAGACATGAGGGGAGGTTGGGTTTCGTCGCCCAGTTGGTTGCATTGAATTCTGGGGTTTTAGCTTCTGCAGTCAACTTAGTGGGGCAGATTCTTGCAACTGCCGTCAACCCAACCTACAGCTGATGTTTCGCGATTTCCCTATTTCGAGGAAGTCCCAACCAGCCCCAAGCCTCCCAAACCACACCCACAACTTCGTTCCGCGGAAGTCACTTCCCCCGCCCTCCCCCCAGCACGTTCCGCACCCCTGTCTCCTCGCTAACCCTCTTTGGCGGGCCCCGAAAAAACAGGTTACTCGCGGTTTGTTTACACCAGATTCGCGAGACCCCGAAACGGGCAAAAGAAGCGCAGGGACATATCGGGCTGCAATATTCATGTATGATCACATACGTTTCTCTCATACACTGGCAATTGTGTGCTGTTCATCTAGTAAGTTCACTTAATATGGATGGTCGTGCTCCCGTCACATTCAGGGTCGTTCGTGGAAGAATTATGCACGGAACTATTTGTACATTCAAAGATACATTGGCGAGCAAATAGAGTTGTAAGGATTTTTTCCACCATTAAAGGCAAAGGTTATGCATGATATTCTGGCCATAAAATGTAACATCGGCTACTACCACGCCCCTCAGTTCGTTTCTAGACCCCCTGATTGCTCTGGATTCAGGTCAGGACCCATTAAAAAAGGCTGAAATCTCAAGACAATTCATATACATAAGCCCGTACGATAAGGACAAGCACTAGCAACCAAGGCTGGCGTTCTCAGGGTATTTTATCATGATTCCCTGATTACACATGGTATGTTTTTCGGCCAGCCCTTAATTTCCAGGGTGGTCAAAATCTCAACACTTGACCCTTCCGGGTTATAAGTTCTATAAGACTGAGAATTTGAGGGACCGTGTAATGTGGATACTGTGTTTCCATGTATTTAATGCGTGCGGATCCTTATACAGACACATTGTACAGAACTGCCCACAATCCTGGGATTTCTGTGAAGTCGCTAATCGCGAGAGACATTCCCCCAACACACCCAGCAACCTACGCAAAAATTTTGCGTAGTCCAATTGTACGGACACTTCCTCCCCCCACACACCCAGCAACCTGCCAAAATCGACTAAGTCCTCTTGTACAGACACTCGCCCCACACACCCAGCAACCAGGGTTCCCGTTAGCAGACGAAATCCGTCTGTTCATCTGAGAATCAGACTCACATTTTCCGTGTCATCTGATGTTTTGACAACCATTAATTTTCCATCAGAACGACCATCTTGGTTATATAAATTTGTCTGAATTCGCAAACTAGGTGTAGGCAGTCGTCTGAATTTTCAGATAGCGCGTATATTTCCGTCTGATACCGACACATCTGCCCAGTTCCCCACCCTCCCATCGGCCCATGTGCGCACTGGGCCACTTGTGCCATCCAGTCCTAGGAAACCGTCGCATGCACAATAAAGTCGTCGCGTGGCCTCTCATCACCGCTGTACATTTCGTATCAGATTTACAGCTGCCTGAGTCACATGCTGTTACCGATTCATCGATATGTGCAAAACCTAGCTTGCTGGCAACTCTAAGGCATGATTTGCATGCAGCATACTGTCAGCGCATTGCATGCGCTGTAGGGAAGCCACCCTCGATGCCTGCCAGCGCGAGATGAGTTTCGTGCTAAATCAGGCACCGTCCCATGCAAGGTGCCGAGGCGTCCTTGCGTAATGGCAGTGCAAGGCTCTCGTCGTAGCTCCACATCTATTCTGTCACCCTCTGGTTTTCGTTTTTCTACACGAGATGCCTCCCCCCTACCTCGTTCCTCCTAGTCGTCCTCTCAGCAGAGTCGCAAGTGTAGTCTTGTATCTGCTCGACGAATAGGTCTCATGGCTGCTGCCGCTGGTTCCACAAAGCCAGCGGTAGATTCCCTCGTCGAGGAGCATGTAGTAGCCTTGCTCCCCAGGCTATCAGGCATCGACCTTCTTACTGATCGTGCTACCACTGTAGCGTCGGCACCTGCACACGCCGCATCAACTGTATCGACCCCACCGTCCCCTTTACCTCCGCTAGACACAGAACCGTGGATCACATTCGCGCCTGAGGGTACAGCGCCCCCCACGTCTGAGCGTCCTAGCAGCCCGTTAAGGTCTCCTAGCAGCTGGTCTGGGCCTCCTACTAGCCAGTCAGGGCGTTCTACCAGCCCGTCACCGCATGTCGCACCTGCTGTTTCTGTCGGCCCGTCCGCTCGCATCTCGGGAGGGCCCGTGCTTCCTGTGCGCAAGCCTGGAAGGGTGCGATACCAGCAGCGCAAGCTTACCTTCGGTAGGCCTGCCTCATCTGCCTCCACGTCCTCCGTGCGCCTTGGCGAGCAGCGGGCTCATACTGATCCCGCGCCGTCCACACCGTCGGACGACGAAGGTCCGTTTCCCTTAACAGTCGCAGAGCTTCAGGCAAAGGCGGAAGAGCAGTGGACGCGCCATTTTCCGTGGCTCGTCATCTCTGAAACCTCCAAGGGGCGTCCGTGCATGAAGTGCACAGTCTGCATGGTGCACGGTGACGACCCCGACTACCAGTATGGGCGCAATGGAGAGGGCGGGATCGATATTCAAAAGCAGACTATGCGGAAGCATCAGCACAGCCAGAAGCACGAGGCGGCGATGGCGCGCAAGCTTCAACTTGACGGCAAGAAGGCAAAGCAGCGGTCCATTGTGGAGGTTGAAAATGGCGACGCGGAATCCAAGCGACTGAAGCGGCTCATGGCGATCGTCCACTTCATCTGCAAGTCGGACGCCCCAGTTCTCCTCTTCGTATCACTGGTGCAGTTCATGGCACAGAAAGGCACTCTTGATCTGCCAGAGAAAGAATGTGGAACCTACCAAAGCGAGTAAGTTGTCAATCCTGCGGGGCGTCTTGTTTGTGCAGGGTTCTCATGATCTTTCTGTATGCCACCGTTGTTTGTATTCCGGAGATGGTCACGGAAATTCTTGCTATTAAGCAGTGCTTTTACCTCTTTGTGTGCAGGTATGGCTTCAACCAACTCATTGAGAACATGGTCGGCTACCTGCGTGCGAAGCAGCTGACCCACATCAAGGCGAGACCATTTCTCAGCATCCAGCTTGACGAGAGCACTGACAGGCGGCGGGGCAAGCATATGATAGTGTATCTGACGTTCCTGCGCGATACGACGGTCGTGACTGGGTTCTTCGCTCACCTGACGGTCGAGAAGTGCGACGCCGCATCGCTTCAAGCCGTCCTGCTGACACACCTGGAGGGACAAGGCGTCGACCTCAACCGCATATGTGGCACTGATGGAGCGAGTGTGATGATGGGAGCCCAAAACGGGCTTGTCGCACGGCTTCGCACTCGTATTTCTTACCTCGTGTCATGCCACTGTATTGCTCATAGGTAAGTTGTGGCCCACATCAGTTTTGCCTTATGGTTTTCTCTGTCCGGATTCTGACCAGCTTCATTTGCTATGTGTGCAGGGAAGCTCTCGCTGCCAAGGATGCTGCAGCAGAGTTCCCTGACTTGGGGATGGTTGACAAAGTCGTACGATCCTTGGCCGACATTCTCGGCCGGTCGATTGTCGTCCATTCCCGATTCAAAGAGCTGCAGGAGGTGGTCACCGAGACAAACCTCGAGATGCAAGGGATTCACAATATCCGCTGGTTGTCTCGGGGCGAGGCCATCCAGCGTCTGGTTTAGGTTTTCCCTGCAGCAGTGCTTCTCCTAAGGGAGTATGATTCTGCTATGTATGCGCTCGTTATAACCTTGAAGTTCCATTTCCTTGCTGACGTTCTGAAGGAGCTTAACGCCCTCAATCTGAAGTTCCAGCGGCGGCAGGTGCGGGTACCATTTAACCGTTTCCAGCATTTTATAATTCTCCGTTTCTAATCCCGTGCTCGCCCTTTCGCAGGTCGACGTCACCCAAGTGCTTAGGATGGTGGACAACACCATCGTGACGCTGCGGGCTTGTTATGTCAACTACGGCACCCGCTTCGGCCCCGCAGAAGGAGATTTCTTCGAATTCCTGAACCTGGTAGCTACGGGAGCCGACATCACCATTAGCGACGTGGACGCGAACGGCACCCCGACGACTCACACGTACGAGCTGCAGACTGCCGACATTGAAGGGCAACAATTTGACGGGAACATCGAGTCGCTGCAGGAGCTGGCGACGGCGGTGGTGCTGTCCATTATCAGCAAGCTGCAGGCGCGACTTTCTGACTTGGCGTCGTTGAACGGCACGCGACTGTTCAAGCAGGGTCTCTATCCCTGGACTGCGGCAAAGCGTGAGCGGAAGTTCGTGGCGTGGCTGCAGGCTCTCCGCAACCTTTGGAAGCACGACTCCTCCGCTCCCGACACGCTGCCTGGTGATTGTCGTATTTAAGCATGCATGTGGCTCAAGTCTTTCTCTGCCTTGTTCATGACGTGTATTTACTTCAACCCTTTCTACCGTTTACTAAACACCCTCCTTTCTCCCCTGGCTCTTCTGTCCCTTATCCTGAAGGTGTCCACTGGGGGAAGGCAAAAAAGGAGCTGAATAGCTTCACCACTATCATGTCTACTCACTAGGACGACCTCGACTTTCATGCAAGCTTGAAGAACATGCTCTCCACTCCCGACTGGAAGACGGCCTACCCGAATATCGTCAGCATTTGGATAGCAGTGGCGGTGCTGCCGTTGAGCACTGTCGAGTGCGAGCGCGGCTTCAGCCGCCAGAACGTCATTAAGAGTTGGTTGCGCGGCAACCTGTGTGACGCGAAGCTCAGCGATCTCGACTACGACATGGAGTGGGACGGCATGGTGGCGAAGTGGCGTGGGGTCAAGAAGAGGCGGCCCGCGAGGGAGGTAGTGATGGGGCAGGGTACACGTTCAGCAAAGAGGCAAAAGCGGTCAGCGGCATTCAAGGCGGCAAGAACAGCAGCGAAGGTAGCAGCAGCAGCAGCAGCACGACAGGCAGAGGCACTTGCAGCAGCAGAGGCGGCGCAGATGTTTGATGAGGATGGTTCAGCAGGCACGGTATGGAAGAGGAAGGGCAAGGGCAGAGCGATTTTGCTAGAGTCTGATAGTGAGGAGGATGAGCAAGGATGCAGCAGTGGCAGTGAGTCTGAGTAGGGTAGGGTTAATGCTAGTTGGTTATGCAGCGGTATTGGTTGGAAGCTCTAGAAAGCTTGTAGGATGTTAGCAGCAAGCCAAACTCATTGGTAGAGTTACGAGTAGCTGCAGTAGGATGTTTGTTGGCTACAACTGTGGCTCATAGGATGACTTAGTGCCCGTAGCTGCTGCTGTCATAGGAGAAATCTTATTACGAGTAGTGCTGCTGTGCTGTCTCGAACACATCTAATGTTTCATTTCATGTGCTTAAGTCAAAGCCTAGAGGATGAGCAGCATAATTTTCAGGAGGCAAGTTTCATCTGCAAACACAGATAAGGCTGTATACTTCGTCTGAAATTTTAGACCAAGCCAAACACCTCATATGATGGTCAGACAAAACTCTCGTACCCCGTCTGATTCTCAGACTGTCCTAAAAGTTAGCAGGAACCCTGCCAGCAACCTACAAAAAATTGTCTAAGTCCTAATAGCCAGAGGCATCACCTGTTAAATTATATATTGAGTTATATAATTGTTATGCTTGGTAGGTTACCGAACTTTACTGTAGAGGGTACAATCCCCTCCTTGTATGCCTCTCTCTTTCTATTCCAACACTCTTTTCTCTCATCAACTTTTCTCCTTCCTAAACCTCACGCCACTCCAATGCTCCTCCTAGCTAAACCTCATGCCTTTCCTAGCTTCCAAGCTAAGCTAGCCTTCTAACATCACCCTCCTGAACAAAAGAATATTGGCGAGGTTCTCTTGTAGAGACTTCCCCCTCCCACACACCCACACTCCCACAACCCATGTAATTTGGCTTAGTCCTCAACATCAACCCCTTGCCCCCCACAAACCCTCAGAATCTGGCAACCCAGTGAAACATAGATAAAACATAGTGCCATTCCATCCCTAATGCGTCATTTCTTGCGCGATTTGAAGACAGCATAAGCTACATCTATGTCAGACCTACCTCTCGTTAAAAATTTAGGCGATTGGGCTCACGGAATTGGGCTGTAGAGCGTCTCGAATACCTGCATAGGGGTATTTTTTACAAACCTTACCCCTAGATAAAACTGTTAAATTATATATTTTGTTACAGTGGCGGAAATAATTGACCGTATGTTTTGCATTAATTTGGGTTTTTAGGCTCTAAGACCATTATACATTAATCCTTAATATTTAATGGTGGTTAGCTTTGGGAGGAGCACATAGTGGATGTGTTAACAGCACAAAAATCCAGAATAGTACATTGGGTCTAACTGATATTACAGAAGACAAACAAATGGTACATCCGGACAAATATTTCCAAGCAGAGAGAGCAAACTTCATAACTGCATTTCAGGTACATAGCACACCGACCTTTGGCCTTATTCACCACCTGCACCCTCCTAGGCATGTTACCTACGAGGTAAGTACAAACCTCGGCAAGGAATTTCTTGCACTCTTCCTGGACCCACCATTTTGCATAAAGGGGTGAGCACAAGAGTATTGTGGACGATTTTGTATTGAATGGTATCTTTGAGACTAGCCATGGAGAGGTGTGGCCAAAGATGCAATTAGCAGGTCAGACCCATCTTATCACGGATCGACTTCGTCGTACCATTGTAGGATAAAATTATGAATAGAGCAGCCATATCTAGCATAAACACCGCGAGACTGAGGGTAACGTTGCACGGTTGATTGTGCACCCTTGCAGCATTAAAAACACACTAGGTTCCGCGGGTCCAGTTACGGTGCAGCAGTCGTAGAAGCCATGACTGTTTTGGAAAATTTAAGGGGTCGGCTGCTATTCGTGAAGTCGCATGCTGAGCGGACAAGGTTCGAAAGCATGTGATCTGGTCAAACGGGACCAACATCGACTGCTTCAGCTCCAATGGCCGCGCGTTTGCCTTGATTCGTGAAGGCACAACCATGCAGTACCAATAAATCAAACAGATGGTACACCATGGGGACAAGGATCGGCGATGGTGCGGGGATGTATGACATATGCAGGGGAGGGGTTCATGTGCAAGATTGACGGATGCATGGAGAGGCCCCTGTATGAGGGCATTTTGCATGACGAACTCGAATTGATCCTCCATTTCTATAGCATTTTCCCCTCCAAGGTCATCTCGGTGCAGACAATGACCCCAAGAATTTGTTATGCCTAGTGCAGGAATGACTCGGAGAACATGAGTATGTAGCCTTGGAGTGGCCTTCTATCTCATCAAACCTTAACTTCTGGGCTTACCTGAAAAGGGAGCTAGCCAAGCATAAAAGGCCTTCCTCTAGAATGCTGGAGCTTTAAGACCTGGTCTAGGAAGAATGGGAGAAGATCCATGCCGAGGTTTACTCTAGCCTCATCGACAGCTCGCTTAGGAGGGTGCGGGCGGTGATCAAGGCCAAAGGTCGGTGGGCTTGGAACTAGAAACACACTTTTGAAGTTTGCTCTCTCTGCCTGGAACTATTTGTCCGGATGTACCCTTTGTATATCTTTTGGGATATGAATTAGATCCAATGTACTATTTTGCATATTTGTGCTATGAACACATCCACTATGTGTCCCTCCCAACTCGAACCACCATTAAACATTAAGGCTTAATGTATAGTGGTCCTAAAACCTCAAAACCCTAATTAATGCAAAACATACGGACAATTGTTTCCGCCACTGTATATCATTGGTAGGCTTGGTAAGTGTTACTGAAACCTACTGTAGAGGGTACAACCCCCCTCCTTATATGCCTCTCTCTTCCATTCTTGAACTCTTTTCTTTCCTCAACTTTCTCTCCTAGCTCCTAAACCCTCTCGCCATTTCTATGGCTTCCCTCCTACCTAGATCCTAGCTTAACATGGTTTCAGAGCAGGCCCCTTTCGCTCGGGCCTTCTCCTCACGCTTCCGCAGCAAACTCTCCCCCCCCCCTCCCCCCCCCCCCCCCCCGTCACGCCGTGCTGGCCCCGTCATGCCGCGCTGGCCCCGTCACTCCGCGCTGGCCCCGTCACGCCGCGCTGGCCCCGTCACTCCGCGCCGGCCCCGTCCCTCCGCGCTGGCCCCGTCACGCCGCGCTGGCCCTGTCACTCCGCACTGGCCTCGTCACGCCGCGCTGGCCCCGTCACGCCGCGCCGGCCTCGTCACGTCGCTGTGCCTCAGTGCCGCCGTGGCGCTGTCCCGCCGCGCCGCTGCGCCGCCGTGCCGCCGTGCCGTCGTGCTGCCGTGGCGGCTTCGCCACGCCAGCGCACGGACAGCTGCGGCCAGCGCCCTGTCCTAGGCGCCAGCCGTAACACCCCCACGCCAGTAAGCGTCGCGCCAATCGTAACGCCCTCACGCCAGTAAGCGTCGCGCCAGCCTTGGTGTCTCGCTGAAGATCCCCACCCCCCCTCCTTCCCCCTCGCCAAGGAGATTGGCCATGCCGCCGAGAGGGCGGGGGCTGCTGCAGTCGCCTCTGACGTTGAAGCCGCCGTTGTCGCTGTTGCCGCTGGCCTGTTGCCGCCGCACGCCGCCGCCGCTCTCGTCACTGCCGCCGCTGCCGCCATTGCCATCTGACGGGCCGTGGGAGTTGACCCATTCCGGAGTCATCACGCCTGCTGCTGGGCATGGGAGGGCTAGGTTAGGGTGTGTGGGTGTGTGTGGGCTTGGGACTACCAAGCCTAGGGGGTGTGTTAAATTGTATATTTTGTTATATAATTGGTAGGCTTGGTAGGTGTTACTGAAACCTACTGTAGAGGGTACAACCCCCCTCCTTGTATGTCTTTCTCTTCCATTCTCGAACTCTTTTCTCTCCTCAACTTTCTCTCCTAGCTCCTAAACCCTCTCGCCATTTCCATGGCTTCCCTCCTACCTAGATCCTAGCTTAACAAAAACATAGTGTTGCTTCGTCACTAATGCATCATTTATTGCAAGGTTTAAAGTCTGCATGAGCTATCCATGTGCAAGACCTAACATTTGTTTTACATTCAGTCAATTTAACTCACGAAATTGGGCTGTAGAGCTTTTTGAATATCGGCATAGGGGTATTTTCTACCAACCTTACCCGTGGATAAAACACAGTGTCACTTCATCACTAATGCTTGATTTCTTTCATGGTTTGAATCCAGCACGAGCTATCCCTATGCGAGACCTACATTCTGCTAAGAAATCAGCCAAGTTGGCTCTCAAAATTGGGCTGTTAATTTCTTTTAATATCTATACAGGGGTATTTTCTACCAACCTTACCCCTAGATAAAACATAGTGCTGCTTTGATACTTATGCATCATTTCATCCATGGTTTGAAGCCTGCACGTGGTACCCCTATGCGAGGCCTACCTTCTGTTAAAAATTCTGCCAATTTGGCTCACGAAACTGGGTTGTATAGCAATTTTAATATCTATATAGGGGTATTTTCTACCAACCTTACCCCGAGATAAAACACAGTGCTGTTTCGTCACTAATGCTTCATTTCTTGCACAGTTTGAAGCCTGCAAGAGATATCCCTATGCGATACCTACCTTTTGTTAAAAATTGAGCCAATTTGGTTCACAAAATTGGGTTGTAGAGCTTTTTGAATATCTATATAGCGGTATCTTCAACCAACCTTACCCCCATATGAAACATAGTGCTGCTTCATCACAAATGCGTCATTTATTGCAAGGTTGAAAGTCTGCATGAGCTATCCCTATGCAAGACCTAACAGTCATTTTAGATTCAGCCAATTTGGCTCTCGAAATTGGGCTATAGAGCCTTTTGAATATCTACTAGGGGTATTTTCTACCAACCTTATCCGTGGATAAAACACAGTGTCATTTCATCACTAATGCATCATTTCTTGCACGGTTTGAAGCAGCATGAGCTATCCCTATGCGAGACCTACATCATGCTAAAAAATCAGCCAAGCTGGCTCACGAAATTCAGTTGTAGAACTTTTTGAATATCTATATGGGGGTATTTTCTACCAACCTTACCCTTGGATAAAACATAGTGCCATGTCGTCACTAATTCGTATTTCTTGCAAGATTTGAATACAGCATGCGCTATCCATATGCCAGAAATATCTCCTATTGAAAAAACAGCCAATTTGGCTCACTGAAGTCCGAATGCTACGTCTACCTTACTCCCGAAAAAGCTACTTCCGCTCACTCCCCATTTTTGGGGTGTCCTTTATAACATTTTATAGCATGAGTACATGGGACAAGCATGGTAGGAGAGGCATGAGATGTCTAGCTGGCTAAGGGGCTCCTCCCGGGATGCCGAGAGAAGAAGAGGAGAGGCGGACGGTGGGTGCTTCGCCGGCAGAGGAGGGGAGATGGCTAACCAGCGGACAACATTCAAATGCGTTGCTGAAAAGCCGGCCACTCACCTGCAGGCCACTCACCTGCAGGCCACTCACCTGCAGGCCACTCACCTGCAGGCCACTCACCTGGAAGCCACTCAAAACCAGGCCACTCACCTGCAGGCCACTCACCTGCAGGCCACTCAGCTGCAGGACACTCACTTGCAGGCCACTCACCTGCCGGCCTCTCACCTGCAGGCCTCTCACATGTAGGACACTCACCTGCAGGCCAGTCACGTGCAGGCCAGTCACATGAAGGCCACTCACGTGTAGGCCACTCACGTGCAGGCCACTCACTTGCGCGCCACTCGCGTGCAGGCCACTCACGTGCAGGCCACTCACGTGCAGGCCTCTCACGTGCAGGCCACTCACGTGCAGGCCACTCACGTGCAGGCCACTCACTTGCAGGCCACTCACGTGCAGACCACTCACCTGCAGGCCACTCACCTGCAGGCCTCTTGCATGCAGGCCACTCACCTGCAGGCCTCTCACGTGCAGGCCAATCACGTGCAGGCCACTCACGTGCAGGCCACTCACGTGCAGGCCGGCAGAGGGGGCAGTGCAGGAGTCACCACCAGAGCAGGCGAGGCTGGGATTCAGGCGAGTCAACTCTGTCTCGTTCAGTGCAAAGAGCAATGCTACAGCCGCCCCCCCCACCTGCTGCTGAGAGTGCTTTTCTTATTCCCGAAAGCTGCTTTCCAACACACCTGCTGGCCGGCAGAGGGGGCAGCACAGGAGTCGGCACCGGAGCAGTCGAGGCCGGGATTCAAGCGAGTCAACTCAGTCTCGTCCAGTGCAAAGAGCTCTGCTACAGCCGCACAGATGTCGTCGCTGAACCAGGAGTAGTAGAGGTTGCAGGAGACGCAGGAGGGGGTGGGAGCCACGTTGACCTCTGTGCTTGCTGGGATGGTGACGCAGGGGGAAGCCTGTTGAGGAGGGGAGATAAGCCGGGGAAAGGGGTGGAAGCGAGAGAGGGAATGGCGGGGGGGGTTGTGGGGGGGAGGAGGGGCATGAGTGGAGCACAGGTGTTGCTCTGGACCACACTAATGGAGCACAGGTGTTGCTCTGGACCACACTAGGGGAAGAAATCAAAGGAGATGCTGGGGTCGCAGGAGATGGAGCATATCGAGAATGACAAAACACCAGATTAGTGCCATTGGATGCCTACGTGGCAGCAGCAACTTAGGATACCACATGCGTGGAAGAAATTACGGGAGAGATGCAGTAGCACATTGGCAGCTATCATAATGCACATGCAACACGAAGCTGTGGGAGAAACGGGGATGTGTTCCGTTTTTTTAGAATTCTCAAAAACAGGAGCACATTGGCGGCTATCAAAATACACCTACATCAGGAAGCTGTGGGAGAAAACGGGAGAGTCTGCTTTTAAAGCCCGAGTCTAGAATGGTCAAAAACCATGATTACTGATCATGATAACAGTGCCAAAAAAACTGGGCGAAAGAAATTTCGGCAGAGTTCCCTTGACGACAAAATATTCTGGCGAAATCCAGAACCACAATTGCATCACGGAATTTCTTCAGCAACAACCGAGTTCAACAGTGCGTGATCCGTGCAGGTGGGGGTGGGGGGGTGGGGAAACAAACAGTGACGCGAGACCCCCACAGAAATGCTTTCAGAATGGTCGCAGGCAAAACTCAAGAATACTGAGGTGAACAGTGATGGGGGGTTTGTCCTATTCAGCGGAAGTCGCAAGCTGCCACCCGTTCCCTGAGATTTGCGACGTTTCCCAGGTCTATACCACGTTACCCTTTATTCGACGAAAACAAGTTCAGGATTCCTGAACTTGATAGCAAACCATTCTAGACTTGGGCTTTAAGTCGACTCAAAAGCAGACAGCTACATCAGGAAGCTGTGGGAGAAACGGGGAGAGGTTAAGTAATTTAGCTTTGAGACGTCTCAGAACTTGGAAACGATCAACAGACACCTGCATAAGGAAGCTGTGGGAGAAACGGGGAGAGGTGAAGTAGTTTAGCTTTGAGACGTCTCAAAACTTGGCAACGATCAACAGACACCTGCATCAGGAAGGTGTGGGAGAAACGGGGGGGAGAGCGCACCACGCCAAGGAGCGAGCAACGCAGTCACTCTTTGGTCAAAGATTGAGACATGCTTCCTCGTGAGGCCAACGAGGGAACGGGGAGTGGGTGGGGGCGGAGGTGGGGTGCGCAACTCACCACACTGGGGTTCTGCGAGAGAAGTGCTTCCTCTGTGAGGTCAGAAAGCTGGTAGACGAGAGTAAGAGGGTAAACAATTCGATTGGACAGTGACCAGAGAGGAACAACATACCAGACTGGGGTTCTGAGCGAGGAATGCTTCCTCAGTGAGGCCAAAGAGCTGGTAGACGAGAGGGCAGTCCACGTCCACCAGGAAGGAGAGGGTGGAGGGAGGAGAGTCAGCTGGAGGGGAGAGGAGAGGGGGGGGAGAAAGTTGAGGAAAGGAGCAGTCAGAGCAAGCCGAAGTGGCTGTGGCGCACTTGGGGTCGTTGTATGCGCCCTGACGTTGCATAGGGGAATAGAGGGGAGCAAGGCGAGAAAGGAGTGAGGGCAATGAGGGGGAAGGCAGGGCGGAAGGGGTAGGTAGGTGCCTCAAGAGCAGCGTGACCAAAGGACCAAGAGGGAGCTAATACGGCAGACTCACTGCTGCCTTGTACTTCTGCAAGGAGGAGTAGCTGCCTCGCACAAACGCATTCCGAGCGTGCTAACCATATGCATATTCTAGCACCATCTGTGACACTGCAGCAAGGGGTTGCTACACTCTCACTCAAAGCTGTGTATTTCTGGAAGGAGGGGTAGCTGCCTCGCACAAACGCTGAGGCCGGCTGCACCTGCACCGCCACAAGAAGCCCGATCCAGCCATAGTAGTCCACCTGCTCGTAGTGCGCTAGGCCCACTGGTGTGGAGGAGGCGGCGATATAGAGGGGGGAGGGTGGGGGGGAGGGGGGCAGAGGTTGGGGATGATGGGGAGGAGGGCAGAGAGAGGGTGGGGGGAGGGCGGGGAGGGAGGGGGGTTAAATAGAGTGAGGGTGGGAGGGTCCAGAGGCACCTGCAGCAAGCCATGCCCTCCTGCTCTTAGCACACAATTCCACATGAAATCGTGCAGCTGCACAATTCCTCCTGCTCTTAGAGCACTGACCAAGCTACCCTGCCCTGATGGGTCATTCTACCATGCCCGTATTGCACATGATTTGCTTGCCCCAGTACAGGTAGGCTTGCTCTGCCACGAGCCCCCCTTGGTCCCTAAATCAGGTTACCTCGCCCTTACCTTGCACGTGTTGCACCAGGGTTGCTTTCCCTTACAAGGGCAGGCTTGTTCGTGACTAGCCCGTGCGAGCCCCTCTAGGTTGTGAGTAGCCCCTGCAAGCCCCTCTCGGTCGTGAGTAGCCCGTGCGAGCCCCTCTTGGTCGTGACTAGCCCGTGCGAGCCCCTCTTGGTCGTGACTAGCCCGTGCGAGCCCCTCTTGGTCGTGACTAGCCCGTGCGAGCCCCTCTTGGTCGTGATGAGCCCGTGCGAGCCCCTCTTGGTCGTGACTAGCCCGTGCGAGCCCCTCTTGGTCGTAATGAGCCCGTGCGAGCCCCTCTTGGTCGTGACTAGCACCAACCATCAAGTCCAGGCTGACGTGGGCCACCCACCCTGCAATTTTTTCAAATTCTCAAGAACCTATAATTGCCCCTAATGTCTTTGACTTGCTTGCCCTCACCTTGTCCCCTCCCCATTGTATTCTGTTATGTGATCACTTCTCTTAAGAGGAGCTTTTCAATGGATCAAGAATCGTTTTAATCGGGGCAAGAACGCGAAAGGTATGAACAATCAAAGTTCATAAGCATGTGTTCCATTGCGATAGCTACAATGCGAAGTTCTTGGAATGTCTCTATGCGAAGTAGGAATTATTGGAGTTTGGTTTTTCGTCACCCTACTATACAACTGCAAATAGGTACGAACAACCAAGATATGTTGGCAAATGGTGCCAACTTGGTTGAATGGGTTGGAAAGAGACAAATGTCAAAGTTGGGGTTCTTTAGTTGAGAACTGTCTTCGAGCCTTCCCTTTCATCCCTCTCTTACTCCAACATTTTTCTGGCTCATTTAATGCTTTGTGAGATTCTAAGACCTTCTTGATTGAACTTTCATATTTGAATTCACATTTTCCTCCAACATACCTCCTTGCACTTCAACATTCATATCGCGACGAATGGTTGACTTTTCAAGCTGATAGCAATTGTAACGTTGCGAAGTATGACATAAACGAAATTCGTACACATTCCACGGTTAGCATTCCGTTGGCAGAATTTTGCAGAGAAACGGCTTTTTAATCCATAATTTTGATTCTACACTTTGAGTTACTTCGACTCCCTATTCCATCTAGACTCTGTCCTTGGACAATCAACACACTTGACTTTCTTGCACGCACCTTGTTGTTAAGACTAGAAAGAATGATTAATAGAAGGGAGAACAAAGGAGATATAGCATTTGGGTTGTACCCTTTAAGAACATACCCTATCTAGCCTATAACTTCTACATGACAATATATGTACAAGTTGACACACCCCCTAGGCTAGATAAGGGGTAGTGCTGAGCAAGAAACACGCAGCTCAGGGTGGCACTACTAGTCCAACCTCGGAGGGAGGGGCCCGAAGACCAGTCAGCAAGAGTACAAGCAAGACAGAGCAAACCAAGGCGGCACTGCTAGTCAAACCACTGGAGGAAAAGCCACAAGGCCAGTCTGGAAGGCATAAATACAAAGGAGTACACAATCAAGAGCCTAGCAAGTGACAGTCAACAAGGACTAGACCTAACTTCAAGCAGTGCCGCTGATGATCTCTAGGCGGAAGCTCCTTAGTAAAGATATCAGCTATGTTGGCACCGGAGGCCAAGTGTACTACGCGGACCTGGCGACGTTGCTGAAGCTCGCGCAGGAGGAAGTACCGCAGCTGGATGTGCTTCGCTCTGCCCTCAAGTCGAGGCTCCTGACACAAGAGGATCATGCCCCTGTTGTCAGCGTACAGAACCGGGGCAGAGCTAGGCCGCTCACCAAAGTCGGCAAGCAAGAAGGTCAGCCAGTGGAGCTCCTGTGCCACCATGGCACCGGCGTAGATCTCAGCCTCGCAGCTAGAATGGGCAACAAACGAGGAGCGAGTGGACCTCCACGAGATGGCACCAGAACAAAGGCTGAAGCAGTAGCCCTGGGAGGACCGGAGGGTCTCAGCGTCGTCTGCCCAAGAAGCGTCTGCGTGCCCAGAAAGGACCACTGGCCTGCGTCCTCCCAGCTTTAGCCCCATGCTCGATATACTTGCAAGATAACACAAAACCCTCTTAGCGGACGACCAGTGTTGTGGTCGGTGTCTGCCTATGGCCACAAAGCGGGCCAGGATGTTGAGAGGGTATGCGAGATCTGGGCGAGTGTAAGTCATCATGTACATGAGGCAACCCACCAGCTCTGCGTAAGGACCACTGGGCTCTACTGACTCCTCGGGAACTGGAGCTGAGAGCTTGTGGTCTACCAACAGAGGTGTGGGCTGTGCAGAGGAGAACTGAAGACCGAACCTCTGAAGGACCTGGCACACCAAGTGTGACTGTGTAAGAGTGATGGTGCGCGCTGCTCTGTCCCTGGAGATCTGCAGTCCAAGGTAGTGGCGTAGCTCTCCCAGGTCAGTGCAGGTGTGTCGCCTCAGCAGCTCAGCCTTCACGGAGGCCAGCGCGTCTCTGTCTGCTGTAGCAAGGACCAGGTCGTCTACGTAGACCAGGATGTAGAACGGAGTCTAGCCAGCACGAACGAAGAGCGAAGGGTCACCAGAGGACGGAAAGAACTGCAGGTAAGCTAGTGTGGCACGCAGTGTGTCGTGCCACCCACGGGGCGACTGTCGCAAGCCGTAGACGGGGCGCCGGAGGAGCCACTGGGTCCCAGGAGGGAAA